GTTTTATTATAGGCAACGATTTATTTTGGCTGGTTGGATGTTACAAAAGTGCTTCACGATTATATAATTCGTGATAATGGGCTAAGTTAAATAATTTCTCCAATCTTCATAACACCTATGTAGGAGAAAGTGGGGCAAATATATTTCAAGGTTATTGGTTCGCCTAAATGAGAGTTACGGAAACGGAATTAATACAGAGTTATTCCTAAAGACATGAAAATGTGATTGCTGTTAAAACTGTTAATACGTTAGCCACATAATTTTTTAAACCAAGCTTGTTTTGAAATTTATTTGATTCTTGAATCTCTGTATGTTAATTTATAAATGATCAGGCCCAATAAAAATAAATTTAAATAAAAACTGTTTGGCAATGTCATCGGGTTCTCTCCTTTCTCTGTAGGCTTTTTTGTACGAGTATGAAAGATTATTTATAGTCTCAAATGTAATAGTGTTATTAAAAGGAATAAAGAAATCTAAATTAATACCACATAAAATAGTTAAAAGTTGCAAATAGTTTCGGCTAACGAGCCTTCATCAGGACTATAATACAAAAATAAAATTATGACAGATAGCAGTATTAAAAAAAACATAGAGTTGTTGTACTCACAATAAAATGAAGTTGTTATAACTGCAAATAATACAAGTGGTAACGCACGATATGAAAACGTAAAATGTAAGATAAAGGTAATAAATAGACCTAATAGCCTCAGAGAAGGAGAAGATATGGCTTAAATATGTAAAGTTGACCAACTGCTGAATCTGAGGAATGGTAGATCATTAAGAAACCATCGGCCAATTTCGCGAAAGACTTACTGGATCATAAACGATAAACCGTTAGGATAACAGATGGTCTTCTTACCGGAAGGTGTACAAGTATCATTAATCCAGCAGCAGAAGCAACACTGTGTAGATTCTTTGAGGAAGAAGAAGAAACATCAATCTACTAGTGTGAAAGCCATGCGTAAAAATAATGTTCTTTCTTGGCTATTTCTTACTAGATATAATTCAGTAGTAATATATAGACAGAGAAGAAGATACTTTCTCCAGAAGGAAGCAGTTGCAGAAACAAATATTAGGAGAAACACTATAGAGAAGAAACGTCTGGTTTTTTAACGCTTCCAACATGTCGAGGTTCTTTGTTGAAGGGTTGCGGTGGTCTTCTATCTTTATTTTTTGATTGAAGTTCGCCCATGGCTGTCTTGGTATCCACTAGAAGTTGTGCGACAGTTCCTGTGGCAAGTGTTGAAGTTGGCTCTAGTTGTCACTTCTCTGTTTAGTGTTTGCTGTAAGAATAAAATACAAACATAAGTTTTTACTTGTAAAGAAATAAAATTAGTGTATTCCTTACCTGCGACTAATTTTATCCTGGCAATCAGGAACAGAGCATGGACAAATTCACACCATAATTATCTTTGTTTAAAGCACTAAAAATCGCCCAAAATGGAGGTTATGGCGTTATGGCATGATCTGATTACTGCAATGGCTGTTGAATACCTACTTGCGTACGCTTTCGTCACTCTGAACCTGCTGGACGAACCGTAACGAACAAACTTTATGTAAAGTATCGCCATTTATATTTGTTGTACAGTACTATACCACGAGTCAACATTTTCCTATTAAAGATCCTTATAGCCTGCTCACCACATTTGAATTTCACATTATTTTCCTTTGATAAGTCTTATCTGTATCTATATGTAAGGTGGGAAGAGTTGGTTGCTCCACAGCACTCATTAGGATACTCCAGTAGCATATAGGACCTGCCTCTCAACTTGTCAAAAACCTGCTTGTTGTTGCTAACAGCCTCCAAGGTTATATTGAAAATGAGTAGGATGATCTCATCGCCTTCCACTGCGATTCAGATGGATCTATTATGTCTAAGTTATAGTTCACCATACAAGTCACACCTTTTAATGAAGGCCATGGTTGAATTGGGTGAGACCTATTTATGTCGGTAGTCTCCAGTTGGATGAATCCGAAAATCTGGTATTTGTTTCCAAAGCAGGAATCTAAAATGTGCTTTACGGATTCGTCTTCCACGCTGCAGAATCGACAGTCCGATGTTTGTTTCAGACCTATGCTTCTCGTGTGGTTACCTAGACCACAATATCCTGTCATAAGTCCCGTGAGAATGCATGGATCGTTTCTACTCCATTCCCGGATCTGAGCAGAGGCATTCATGAAAGGGTTGGGTATAAACCCCTTTGAATGAGTTAGCCCTGAGGTATCTCTCTAGCACGTCCCGTCCATTTTGAGCTAATTCTGTTAACAGTGCTCTTTGCAATGCCCAGGAATGGTTTTGGTCCTATGAACTCGGTTCCTCTTTTAGCGAGTGCAGATCAAAGTAACTTTATTCCGGGCACCGAGACACTCAAGGATATTTATACAGTTCCAAATCAGCTTTGAGCCAACTCGAGTGGAGCTCTTGAGGGCTGCCTAGATATCTGAAAAGATCTTTAAATTCTTGTTAGCGGAAAGAAAATGAATCGACACTCTCGCTTCCCAATTCTATAGAAATCATTTTTGCTTGTTGGAAGATCGTGGAGAGGTTTATTGATATGTGAAATCTTGGCTTTTGGCCGAAAACTCCCGCTCCTACTCCTTTTTCAGTTTTGAAGCCGTCCGTGTCTGAGACCATGTCGAGGATGAGGTAGTTAATAATCTCACTCATCAGCCCCTTTTGGCCCATAGCACTTCTTCATTGCATTGACTACCCACCTGCAGAAGTTTATAGGAGATCATCCAGGTCTTCCTTTTCAGAATTGTGGAATTTTCAGTCAAATCGTGAAATTTTTGCAGTTTTTGTTGAGAAGTTAGTTATGTACAATATTTTTCTGTCCAAAGATATGTTAAGTATGTTAGCAGTCCCAAAGTATTCGTTATTTGGACTTTCTTATTCAACAATTCGTTACTGTAGGAGGCCTAGAGGAGTGTAGATAGTTGGTTCAACAATATTGTGTTACTCGTGTTTAATTACGAATATATATTATTTATTACATTATAAAAATTCTAATACTGATTTTGGCTGTAGACAACGATGTTACAAAACAAAGAATTGTCATATAATACAAAGACTGGTATCAGGACTATCGATTATCGCATAAACTAAACGAAACTAAATTTAATGAGTCTGAAGGAAGAGTGAAATTATCATTTGACAACAGGTTGGATGCATTAATTTATATTACCCATAGTAACGACCATGGTAAATGGGACTCCGATTAACACTCTAGAACACAGTAGAATGTTTGATAATACTAAATTGCAACTTTTGGCGAAGGTGCCAAATTGTTATATATGGACGAGGAATTTGGTGGACATGCCGAGTAAACTTCGCCTTTTTATTTAAATAAGCTGTATGTCGTTGGAGAGTCAGTCGATAAAAAGAATTTGTTGTAAAAATATAAATTTTTTGAAATATAAATAGTGCTAAAATAGAAAATATGTATTTGAGATAAATTACCATTAAATTGTAAATCAATTATTGAATAAAAGTGTACAAATAAATTAAATATATAAATTGTTTAAAATAAATAAATAAGCATTTTGTATATAATAACATTACTTTTTCAATATATACAAGTGAACACATACAAAATTATATAAGCACTAATTAAATTCTTGAAGACATATTTCAACAACATAAAAATCAGAGATAACTATGTTAAAATATAATACATATTATCTTTGCAAGTTTTTGCATGATATTTAGGAGAGGAGCCGTTATAAATGGATGAGAAATTATTAACTTTCAACGAAAGTAAGCTGTGAGAAAAATAGAACTTTCTGTAATTGTAGAAAAGTTAATAGGCATACAAATCTTTGTAAATAGATTCATTCTGGTCTCTTGATAGAGTTAACCTTGACCTTCTTTGACAATAGAGAGATATTGCAAGTTCACTTAAGGCAGTCACTATTAGGGACGCTTTTATTTTGACATCTGCGCATGCGCAGATCGTTTACGTTCTAGACCTGTCCTTAATTGTGGATGTTTATGGGCAACAGATAGTGGTGATTTTATAGTTTTCGAGTGCGCTCGCCGACATTCGTATCAGTTCGACGTTTTTTAATATTAAATATTTAATATCATCGTTATCTAAACCTTCTAAAATGGTAATTTATTATGCCTATTTCATATTATGTACTATTATATACAAAAAAGGATAAAATGTAATTTAAAATTTTTAAAATGAGGTTAGGAGATGTCAAAACTTCAGGTTTACAATAAGTCCTATTTTAGTATGGAATTTATTTGCCTCTAATTACATTCTTACTATTAGTGGCTGACATTATAAAAAGTTGTTTCCCTTCGTCATATACTATTACAGTCCCTAGGAAGTTATAGTTTTCGCTATATTTAAACTACAATAACTGTTGATAAAAAATAAAACCCTAATTACAAAAAATTTCAGCAATCAATACTTTCCTTCATTACAATTTTTCCCCAAAAGTAACTATGCAAACTGTTCATGGCACACTTTTCCTAAATACTAATTATACTCTTATACCCTTGCGATCAGGTATTTTACGGTGCTGTTGTCGTAATTTAGTACTACTTACCCCTACAACTATCATTCTGCGTAATTATGCAATTATGCAATTCGATATCGGAGAGGAAAAATTACTTTGATGAGCATAATGACTGAAGGGGTCAAGTTATATAATTTAAAATAAGGTATTGATTAAATTTTGGGGTTTTTATTCTTAAATGTTATTTCTGTAATATAACAGAATTGTTAAATAACAGAGAATGTTTATTCCTATTTTGAATAATACAAACATTTCAATTAGCTAACTACGGTTTATAAAATAAGAAATACATTATAGTTTTATGTACATACATTCATATTTTAATGAAGAATATTTCTTAAGACTTAAAGTTGTTACCAAAATCTGTTTTTTGTTACTTTTACGAGAGCAGATATCTTGATAGCCGAAATTAAAATTTAATTGCAGTAGGTCTGATCATATTAAAGATTAACAGAAACCTTTTAATTTTTTAGTGCATGACACACTCTTGGTATCTTCCATGCGATTTTCACTACTTCATTATAGCCATATTTCTGGTCATAGCTATAAAAAAACATGAAAGAATGGGCCTTGGAGTACTTACTTTTCTTACAATACTATCATTAGCAATTCCATTTGCAATCACGATGATCTATCAACGACCAGGTCTAATGCACTTTTATCCAGAATTCCTAACTGGGCCGAAAGTCTACATAGATTTCAAGTTGACGTATAACAAATCACATACAAGAGCTACACCGTATTTTGTAGGAATGTTTGCTGGATATGTTTACTATCAACTGAAAGGAGCAAATAAACATGTCTCCAGGGTAAGTAACGTTTTTATCAATCTTCTATTTTCTAATTAATACTTTTTAAGAGCAATTTCCAAAAAACCTACTTGATAATCATATATTTTATTGTTTCAGTCAAAATCCTTCCTTGTAATAGCAGCTTCACTAGTTCTAATGCTGGGAACCTTATTTAGTGCTAGAGTGTTCTACGATCCATACCATCCATACAATGCTATCGAAGCGGCTAGCTATAATTCTTTGCATAGATTATCTTGGGCAGTTGGATCATGCGGACTTTTGTATACTGCCAGTTTTGGTCACTTCAGTTTTCTAAAAGTGATACTCTCCTGGTCGCCTTGGATACCGTTGAGTAAACTGGTTTATGGAGCATATTTGTGCCATATGAGTTTTCAGTTAAGAGGTGCAGCTAGGTTCATGAGTCCTCAGCAAATTACGTATTTTGATGTGGTAAGTACTAAAAAGTAAAGTCTTTGTTCGAGACCATTCAATTTAAATGTTTCCAAAATATATAATTCGTGCTATAAAATGCTACATAAATGGGTTTAATATTGTTTATTTCACCATTTACCTGACCAGAAACGCAAAGATGTAAATATGCAATAATGAGCACTTTGAAACACCAACAGTACATAGTTGCACAAAATATATTAAAGCAAAAATTTATTGGTAAAAAATTTCATCATATATTCAATCTATTAGACAATAAGACAATTAGGTCCATTCAGGTAAGCGCAAAATTTGTACCGAAATGTTGAAAACCCTGAGACAGTGAAGCAGTAAAAGTTAATTTAACCTTAATTTGATGACTGTCGTGGCAGCCCGATCAGTAAGAAGACAGAATCAGAATAAGAGAAATATCTGATTACTAGTAATTCGACAGATAGGACATTTATATATAAAGTGGCCAAAAACGCTTCTAGTGAGGCCTGGTCGCTCTTGGCTCTCTTGATCCATATTTTGTGTGGATCAATCTCATTCTCTTAGATAATATGAGACTGATGAAGGAGAACTGGCAAAAGAAATCGGCGATCAAATTAACAAAGAAGTAGAATGGATAACAGCATAAAGCAGAAACAGTAGAAGAGAAAAACGAAAAGCCAACTCCTCTCCAGAAACCTCTCCTGGCCAACCTGGAGGTAGCAAAAATCAACAACAAGAGAAAGAAACAGTCGAAAAAACAGTGAAGTTCCCCCGATAATAGCAAGAGACATTAAAGTAATGGTTAGACGTCTACCATCTACATCTAAACCAGAAGATAGTGTTAAAGACTTGCAAAGTCAAGGATTAAAATGTAAAGAAGATGTCAATATAATAAAGAAGGAAATAGAATTAACCGAGGATAACACTCGTAAACTAAATAAAAAATCATTGCCGCTATTCATGCTATACTTCAAAAATATTAAAGATATCAAGAAAATTTACAAAATCAAAGCAATACTTAATCTAAAAGTTAGAATAGAAAACATAAGAAAGTGAAAACTAGTTCCTGAATGTGAAAACTAGTTCCTCAATGCAAAAACTGTCCAACTATTTGGACATAAACACAACTTTTGCAAAAGAGAATCAAGTTGCGTAAAGTGCGTAGGAAAACATACGAAGGATTGTGTGAATCTCCTGCTAACTAAAAAGGACATTAAATTCAGAGGTTACAATTTCTATCACACTATCCATCCATCAAATGCAGGAAGAGGAGGAAGTGTGTTAATTATTAAAAATAACATTTCCTACTATGAGAAACCAGGTATCCAAGAACCTGAAAATCAGGTAATCATTAACCAATTGAAAATAAAAATCTGATCCCTTCGCACCAATTTGGTTTTAGAAACAAACACTCGACAATAGATCAAGTACACAGGATAGCTAATATCATTAAAAAAGATTACGAAGAAAAATATATATGCTCAGCTATATTTATTGACGTAGCCCAAGCATTTGACAAGGTTTGGCACTCTGGCCTGATACAGAAACTTGAAAAAATCCTCCCTAGACAATAAGTCGACATTCTACAATCATATCTAATGGGAAGAATGTTTAGCAGTTGTCCCACAAGGCAGTGTGCTAGGACCGGTTCTTTACTTATTATACACCAGCGATATCCATCAACAACAATGTGTTAAAATAGGAACTTTTGCGGATGATACTGCAATATTGGCAGTTGGCGGAACTAATACAGAAACCTCAAAAAAACTTCAGGAAACCTGCAACAGAATCAATCGATGAACAAAAAAGTGGAAAATAAAAATAAATCAAACTAAATCAGTGCATTTTGATTTTACTCTTCGACCAAATGAACAAAAACAAATAATAAACAAATACCTAGGGATGAACCTAGATAAAAGACTTAAATGGAAAGAGCACAAAAAAAAATCTTAAAGAACTCAAAAAAAATGTATTGGCTCCTAGAAAGAAAATCCAAATTGTCAGTGTACAACAAAGTGCTGATTTATAAACAAATTCTAAAACCAAACATGAGGGTCGACTCCACTCCCACGTCAACGAAGAAGCGCTGCAATTACTGGACAACTCTACACTCAACAGAAGGCTCAAAAGGAAGAAGCCATTTGAGCTAGTGCAGTGAACGTTAATGTTAGTGCTAGTGCAAAACAGTGTAATAAATCGTCATGCCAATTTTTGATGCTTTCCTATAGAAATAATTAAGATAGCCCAATGGGGATTCCTTAGATAAGTAATTAGTTTATATGATTTTTAGATTAAAATTGTAGTTTAGTCAATAAGTCTAACAAAAAAAAAACATTCACCATCCTAGTTCATGTTTCAGAAATAACCATTCGCGGGAACCCGTAGATATACTAAACCATATATACTTTAACCATAAATACATTAGCCCATAGGTCATAGATATGATAATCATAGTTACCGTAATTGTAGCCATAGGCATTTTACATTCTCATTACATCAGCAATAAATCGCACCAATACCGAATAAGGAATGAGGCCACCTACACCCGAAGAGACTAATTTTCCAAATAATTAACTGAATTTGAAATATAAATATAAAGTAGAGAGAATTTGTAAAAGCTACAACATTCCCATAATCTGAGTCAACACTTTTCCGGACACCTATTTTTAAACTATGGGAGAACTCATTCATCACAAAATTTTCATGAGAAATGTCATACGTCAACGTGGAACCAGTATTTTGAAAGCCAGTGATTACTCACTGACAGTTTATCTCGGTTTATTTCAAGATAATTAAAATTCTTAGAAGAATTTGACGTGATTAGCCTAGAAAAAACAACAAATAAGTAAGGTGTTTGAATATTCGAATTAGGGAGAATGTATAACACAGATTGGGATACTCATTTTTCCCGATAGAAAACTCTCGAGTTTGAAAATAGCCCCCTAGTTCAAAATTTGGAACATTTTAAAGCAGCAATAAGAAAAAAAATAGTTTTTTCATGAGTTCGAAAATTTTGAGCTTGGAAAAGTAATTGGCATTATTTTGGAGACATTAATTTTTGATTAAAAGTGTAACAATTATAGTTCGATTATTATCTAACATCTTGTAATTATTTATTTCTTTCAGATAAGCCTTGCATTGTCGGACATAGTGTTGTCATTTTCAACTGCATTGGTACTTTATCTGATAATAGAAGCCCCATTCAGAAAAATATTTAGGGAACTTATCATGCCTACAAAGAGCACTCCAGCAAAAGTAACAACGCAACGTCCATCAGTCGAAGAAAATATGATTAACCATAACAATAATGTTCAGCAAGATAGTAGACTGTAGCAAAAATAACCTAATACTAGATTAAGTTTTAGAATAAGAATAAATGAACTGTTACGTTAATATTTGATCGAGTAATGACTTGCAGATTTGTCAAAGAATGATTGGCTAAAGACTGTTACTGAGTGTTGCTTCATGAAGTCAAACTTGTACTAGAAGTATGTTTTATAATTTGTTATTCGACTTTAAGAAGACTATTTTTGATCATTGAGTTCAAGCAACATGGGATTTAATAATGTTATATCAAAATATTTTATGGAAATATGTAGGATGTTGTGGTACAGAATATAAGGCAGGTATATGCTTGTTTCCCAATCTTTACTAATAATAGGTTGATGTGAAAAATCGTCAGGTAGTGGATTGTATAGGAAAATTTATTTATCATTGTCAAAATTTAAAGTTAATTTAGCAAAGCTGGGGTGTTTTAAATCTAGAGAATGAATCAAAAATATATATCAAATTAAGTTTTAAAGGGGGATGTCATGTATTTTTGTTGATTGGGAATTGAGAGTAGCAGTTGAGAGTTGAAAAAAAAAATAAAGTAAAAAGATAAAAAAAATTGTATTTAATTGGAAGCTGAGGGTAGCAGGAAGGAGAGCTGGGAGGAACTAAGAAGGCAGAGGCGGATAAGATGAGGAAGAAAGCAGCGCAGACAAGAGAGGGTACAGTCAGAAGCACGAGCAGTAGTAGAAGAGCAGTCGGAGTGGAAGTAACGAAGAAGAGGCCATTTTGTTCCATATTTTTTTTAAATGTGTTATTAAGCTTCTCATTTATTTTGTAAGTTTTAAACCACCCCAGTTTGAGATTTTTATATTGTTTCGAATTGCGTATACTGGGCGATTCCATATCAATATTGCCTTCTCTAAAACCCCTTTTCAATTTCATAAAGGTAACTAAAGAGGGCGAGGCACCAAAACGTAACAAATTGAATAAATTAAAGAAGAGACTTAAAAAAACTCAAAAAATTAATCAATTTTTATGCCAAAGGGGACACCATTATTAATATATCCTAAACTGTCATAAGTCATAACCAGAGATAACAGGAGATATATTCATTGATAAAATATCGACATCAATACCACAGTCCATACGGTTCAGTTGAAGAGAAGTGAAGTGAAGAGACATGTGATGTGAGGTATAGGAAGGAAGAAACTGAAAGATTTGACGGTCATACAAAACAATTTTATCAATTAATATACATGGTGTTCGATAAATACGGTACATAACTTAAGGAGCGTATTCTGGAGCTAAAATAAAGGTATTTTTGTCATATACACTATGTCTCAAAAATGCATCGTTACGGAAATACAGGGTGTGAAAGTTTACCTTGTCCGCACGCCACTGGTTAAACGAAAGCCACTGTGTTTACAGTAAGACACGCAACGTTGCTAACTCTCAAAAGCTGCACAAATTTAATTAAAATATCTCAAGTGGTTTTGGAAATATTTAAAAAATTGTATTTTACCCTGTATTTCCGTAACGAAGCATTTTTGAGACATAATGTATATGACAAAAATACCTTTATTTTATCACTAGAATACGCTCCTAAAGTTATGTACCGTACTTATCGAACACCTTGTATGTGTAAGCCATTGTACGCCTATAATAAAGAATAAAAAACCATCTAGTTAAATTAACTAATGATCCAAATTTGTTGGGTTTAGTTGCAATAAAATAGGATGAATTATTTTAGCTTTTTTAAGATATGTAAATAATTTTGAAAATAATGAAATAGACATGACTACAGCGGATATTATAGCCTCCTATGTCCCTTAGAATATGTATGTCTTATTCACGGCATCACGATATTTGTAGTTACATCTCCTGTTATCTCTGGTCATAACCCTACTTTTATCACTCTAAACATAGAATATGTGAACAATACAGAAAGGAAAGTAAAGGTAGGCACTTTCAAGTAGAAGGGATAAAAATATCTAACCTTCAGCTCCACCATAAACTATTCATTGAAATTACACTGCGAAAACTACATTTATTTCTATTGTACTTTGACAATGCTCCACACCATCAATAAGGTGTGGCTACAGAGACTAGGGTTTTGGCTGTAGGCCTATGTTTCTTTTCTGTATTGTTGTCAAATATGACACACCGTTAGAAAGGTCAATTTATGAGTAATTCAGCAATATGACTGTTCATTGCTCTTTTTTTATTTTAACGCCATCTAACGGCATAAAAAAACTTACGTATTGTAAAATGTGACATTAGATTTGAATGATAATTTTTTTAATAATATATTATGTAGCACTCCCGGTATGCACGTGAACAACTCAATGTAATGACTAATTTTTGATATACAAGGCGTTGAAGTTGCAAATTGACCATTTATAAAAAGGCTGCGTTTAGATATTTTTCAACAGTGGGTAATGTTTTACTGATATCAAAGAATATTTCTAGTATAACCTATTGCGTAAGTTATTATAAGTTACAGGGTGAGTCACACATTACTGAAAATTAAATTTTTACTTTAGCATGAGAATATTTTTTCAAATTAATATTGCATTGAAATAACCTCGGTTTATTTAGTGAAAATTAGGGAATATTTTATACATGGTGAGACAAAAATTGGTAAATCTTATTTGCTATTTTTAATTAAATAATGTCTATTTTTTAACGCGTGTTAATAAACGACCTCAAATTATGTTAAAAATGAGTTTATAAATCATATCTTTACAGTATGATTTAAAAGATTATGTAACAAGAAAAGCGAGGAAACTTGCTTAGTTTACTGTTAGTTGCATATTTTAGATAATTTTAAAAGAATTAAGCTGTATACCTTTCGAATTTAAGCGATTTCAAATTATGTGTGTTGAATTTAAATGGTTGGGGAAACCATGTTCAAAACTCCACCTGTGGAGTGATAAACAAACGAGTTTAACTTTTCATATTTGTAATTACCAAGTTTTATACGCCATATTTCAAAAACTGACAATAGAAAGCTGATATAAATAGAATAATGTATTAGTAAACCCAAAATTTAGGTAAGAAATACGAAATTTAACCGACCTTGGTGCTTGAGTAGTTTGATTGACTGCGATTAAAGTTAAATTGGCAACAATCTCATTATTTAAGTTCATGTTTCATTTAATTATGTTTTCTTGTGTGCTTTAAATTACTAATAAAATTAGATGTCAAATGAAATGTCACACTTTACAATACGCAACAGTTTTTTTATACCTAAAGGACGCTAAAATCAAAAGTAACACAATATACAGTCATATTGCTGAATATCTTATAAATCTACCTTTCCAATGACGTGTGACAGGCTTCTGGTTCACCTACAGTGAATCAGCGAGTCTGTGTGGCACTATGATGGTGATTCCCGAATAGCGGTTGCTCAGGCGCTAGTTTTGGTATCGCAGTTTGCTCTGCGACCCTGTAGTACACCAGAGTGTACTCAAGGTAAACTCAATGGAGGTAAAAATAATACCAGGCGGTCACTGCTACGTAGCCACTATACTAGAATAAATAAAAATAAAACACTTATCTCTACACCTCGTACCCTACGGTACCCTGAAAGAGAACGGTTAAGAACCAGCAATAAGAGAAACACAGGAATAGGTAACAAAATTATATTTACAAAAAAAACACAACGGTGGTAGTGCACGCTTCTGGCACGGCGGTAAACGGAAAATTAAGTATAACGAATAATTACAATTAAACGAGATTACAAGAAAGTAATTACGGCTCCCTATATACAGAAAAAAAATAATTAAAAATAAATTATTACAATTGAAGCTAGTTAAATAATAATGGCTCCCGTTATTCGGAAGATTTATTAAAAATAAATTATTACAATTGAAAACTAGTGTATTCGGAAAATTTATTAAAAATAAATTATTACAATTGAAAACTAATTAAATATTAATGGCTCCACGTATTAGGAAAATTTATTAAAAATAAATTATTACAATTGAAAACTAATTAAATATTAATGGCTCCCTGTATTCAAAAAAATGATTAAAAATAAATTATTACAATTGAAAACTTATTAAATATTAATGGCTCCCTGTATTCAAAAAAATGAATAAAAATAAATTATTACAATTGAAAACTAATTAAATATTGGGAAATAATTACGGTTCGCTAGCAAAGGAGGCTAAGCGGTCTGGGAATTATGAAACTCCCTGTATACGGAAAATTACTTTTTAAAAAAATAAATTATTTAAATATGACGGTAATAAAATGTAGGAAAATAAATGAAATTAAAGTTCGAATTACATTTTACTAGAACGGGAAAATATTTAAATCGGAAATTATGTACAACACGGTATATGGAAGATGTATTTTCCTAAATACACAAAATTAAATAAAATATTCTGGTTAAAATAATAAAACGGAAAAAAATCGTAATTAATTAAAACGGAGTAATTAATTTTTAATCAAACGGTTGACCAACTGAGAATTTCATAAAAGTAAAAGAAAACGGGTAGTTACAACACCCCCTGTATACGGAAAATGAAGTTTACTATTACCACCTACAATGTAAGTTCAGAAAAGGAAAACCTACTATAAAATGGAGAAAGTTTTCGGAACACCTTGTATCTTGGTCTCGAGCGATCGAAAGTGGCAATTTTTGTCGAGTGAGAATGATATGAATTTATGCGGTGTTTGGACAGCGAAGGTGATGATGATAGAAAAGATTATTTTGAGATTTGCCAAAGTCGATCAAAACGGTGTGTGAATTAATTTTACGGAAAACGTCAGGCTTGGTTCAATAATTAGCTGAATACGGGGAACGGAATGATTCAAATACAATTGAATGAATAAATAATAGAAAAGAAACTTACATGAAATGAAAAATACTGGGCGCTTCTTAAAAGAGATTGCCAACGGCGGTTTTTCACTAAGGGATGCAATGAAATATCCTGGGTATGAATCAAAAATTTTCACTTGTCGGACGGGTGTCCCAAACTAATTGTAAATAAAAAAACTAATTTGCTGTTTTCTACCTTAGAAAAATAAACGGGGTTGTTTAGTATTATATCAATATCACGGTCACTCACAGAGTACTTCACTCGTCACTGGAGGAGAGAGAAGAGCTTACGGTTGCCGGAAATCAAGAGAGCGTAATTCCCAGATGTGATCGAATTACTGCTTTTTCGCTGGGCAAAATTGAAGACCGGTAAGCCCGAGTGGGGGATACCACTACTACAGCCGATAATTTAAAAATAAAAAAAAATGTTCTTCTAGTACATTGACAAATAAAAGTTCATAATTGGTACGAAATCGACTCTACAATATGCCCATTCGGATTTCGGCAAATATAGGAATATTTTAACCTATGAGGGTACTGCAATTGTTGAAAAACGGTAATTCCTGGGAAACAGAAATCTTCTACATATCTTCAGGCGGGAATTAATTGAGATATACATTTTTAAAATTAATTAAAAATAAAATTTAGTGACTTCGTCACAGATGTATCATACTTACTCTCAATTAATTTGTATTGGTTAGATTTGCGAAGGAGAGGGAAATGACGTATGGCAGTTGAAAAATGATAGAAATGTGTTCTCTTTTGAATAAAGTTCTGCGTCTTTTAAAAAAAAATTCTCCTTCTCTTTCAGTGCCTCACTCTTTATATAAATAATTCATTTGTTGCTTTTTTTCTTGTCAAATCTTTTCAGAAATGCTTGCATTTTTGACAATGTTGGTGTTCGTCTGTATAGAACCAATACCTTTATAAAATCAAACCAACAAATTACTCAATAAATTTCATCCCTTTCACATGTTACTTGAACTTCCAAATAGTTAAATATGTATACCTAAAGGCCTACAATAAATTAACAGTGTCAGATAATTTCAATGTTTCGTAGGGCGTAAGTTTTATTGATTCATTTCATTTATTGTTTGCTAGACTGCAGATTTGATTAGATCAAACCAAACAGAGATTGATAAAAAATAAACAGTATCTTGAATAGAAGTGTATGAACAGAAAGAGTTTAAACAAGACTGGATGTTTAATTAGAACGTACTGTAACGGTTCATAAAATGCACCTAAACAATGCAAAATGAAGTCCTAAACAGGCTTTTTAACATTGTGAAAATAAAAATAACTTTTAGCATTATTCCCTGTTTATTTGCAAATCGCTAAATGATTTTCGAAATAACTTAATTCTAAATATATCGTAAAACACAATAATTATACAAATTTTCTTTGGTGTGGATATACGAGCCCAGTTACATATAAATTGTACCACAAAGATGTAGCCTAATAAAAAAAGTATTAACATGGGAATGAAAAGACGAAAAATGATTCACAATTTTTCAATAAACCTGGTAAGATCTCAAAGTTGTCAGCATATGAAAGCAAAATGTAATCAGTTTTACCAAAAAAATCATTATAAAAAGTTCTGCATCATTTGAAAGTTAATCAAGCATCAAAATGACATACTTTGATTGTTTTATATATTGAACAACGAAAATCCAAATCACTTAAAAATAAGTCCAATGATTTAAACTTGAGCATATTTTTTAATTTCTATCAACATTTCAATTCATATTTTGCTCTATATTGAAATTTAAAAGCACTTTATTGTTCATAACTCACAATTTTTTTTTATGTGATCTTAAAACTATCCAAACACTCATTTCTTTCTCGAGTTGTAAATTGGACTTACCAACCCTGATACAAAAATAACTATTTGAAAATAAAACTTTTGACACTAAAATGACACATGAAAAAGTTATTCTTTTACTGCGCTCTTTCCAATGTTAATCAGCAAAAGAAAAATGTTTACGTTAAATATTTTTCTACCTTTTGTAGGGCGTGAGATTAGAACTATGCAATAAACTGTAAACTGATAAATTATTTTTATTCAATTTAATAAATAATATTGAAAATAATAATTGTTACTATAAATATCAGTATTTTTGTATTTTTATAATTTTTAAGGAAACAATAAATATTAACATTACGAGCGCTTTTATTTTTTTTACGTTATTTTTCTTCTTAAAGTTTAGGAAACTATAGAAAATTAGACAAAGTACAAATATGTACTTATTAAGCTTCTATACTTTGGTTTCAAAATAATAGAGAGTGGGAAAATTTCATAGTTGCCATATATGAGGAGCTCTCTAATAAAAGTGCAACAAATTCAAAAAGTAAAATTGAAGAAAAACGCAATTACAAATACAGTTGTGTATATGTTGCACTAGAAAAAAAATCTGATGTGTCCAACACATGACTTTCCTATCTAGTTATTATAGGCATTTTCCGGTTATTTTGTACAACCTATTGCAGCACCTCCATAAATGTTTAGAGGATAAACTAAATATATACATTTTACACATACATTTACCTCGAAACATTTTTCTATAGATATTCATTGAAAACGAAAATACTGAAAAATTTAAATTTAGCACTTTTCCATTACGGTCCATTTTATAAAAATCATGTATAAACAAAAATTATAGAAATCGATATCGCAAACAACTTTTAGTTCAACAATTTTCATAAAAATCAGAATTTTGCACATTTTGTCAAATTTCTCGAATACGGACCATTTGAGAAAATTTTGACATAAAGCAAAAATTATAGATAATAATATTAGAAGTAACTTTTATTTGAACAATTTTCTTCTCCAAACATAAATAACAGATATATTCCATAAAATATAAAAACGGCCTCCCATAAAGTACCCCCCCAGATGTTCCGACTTTGTCCAAAATCTAATCGATTCACGTCAGGCCGAAATAAACCTTAAGTTTAAAATTTAATGTTTTTTCCTTTATCCGTTTTTGAGTTTTCTTCAAATTTCGAAATTTAAACATTTTCTCAAATATCTCGAATACGGTCCATTTTAGAGAAATTATGTATAGGACAAAAATTATAGAGAATTATATTACAAACAACTTTTATTTGAACAATTTTTATAAAAAATTATTTTTTTTACATTTTGTCAAATTTCTCGAATACGGACCATTTAAGGAAAATTTTGTATAAAACAAAAATTTTAGATAATTATATTGGAAGTAACTTTTATTTAAAGAATTTTCTTCTCCAAACGTAAATAACAGATATATTCCATAAAATAAAAAAATGACCACCTATAAAGTACCCCCCCAGATGTTCCGACTCTGCCCAAAATCTAATCAGCTCATTACACGCTGAAACAAAGCTTAAGTTTAAAATTTGGTGTTTTTCTGTGTATCGGTTCATGAGTTATGCGTTATACAGACACACACACAGACACACACACACACACACACACACACACACACACACACACACACACACACACACACACAGACATCATCGCGAAAATAGTCAAAACGGATTCAGGGGACCTCAAAACGTAAAAATCCGTCGAAAACTCGAAGTCGAAAAAAATCATGATTCCTATACTTTCCTTATATCTGTATACAGATAGGAAAGTAATAAAAGTACACGTTGCATATGCTTTAACATGGGATAAGTTAAACTTTATCTTTTATACAAATAATCCATTGGTTAGTACAGCCAACAGAGATTCTGGTGCCATATCTATCTCAATTTTGAAATTTTTGGATTTATTTCACTTTGGTTGGAGAGCTCCTCATATCGAAAGAAGAATTGTTACTTAACATTATAATGTATCATACATTGAAATTCATATTTGTCGTTTACCTGTAAAACATTAAAATTGCCCGCCACTGCAAACATTTCCTCCTACCCCGTAAGCTCCGAAAATCTCTGCAAATTTTGGAGCGATGACAGATGACAGCATTCCACTACACATACCTGAAATTTTACCACTGTCTAATATTTTGAAACCGTAGTACAACGTATATTGTTCTTGTGATAGCTCTGATTTGGTAAGTTTTTAAACCATTACTATCTACAATTTGGGCCACAATAAAAATACAGGGTGAATCCTAAGTTAATACTTTTTAAACTGTGTATATAGTGACATTAAAATTAACCAACTTTTTCCAATCACTTTTTTAAAAAACTAAAAATTATATTAATTTATTAATTTATTCCAAAATCTTCAAGTTTTAGTGCTTGGACACATTGAACGTGAAAGGAATACAGTTGATTTTTCAGCAATGTTGTACTTACTTTTCTTTGACTTACTCCCCCACCTGAGCTACAATCACCTACGTGTACTTCTTGTTCTATCTTCCTCAATAACATTTAAAATGTTAACCCACTTAATGTTCAATTTACCATACAATTTAAATTCACTACTGAAATCGCATTCGACTGAAATATAATATACATAATTGAATCGTGATTCATATGAAAAACCGTAGAAAAAGATAAACAGACTAATTATTTAGTGTAACTTTTCATACAGAAGTCCAGGCTCGGATTTAAATTTTTTTGTTATTCTTTTTCTATTTTTAAGTTTTTTAAAAAAGGTGTTTAATAAAGATGTTTATTTTAACATCAACTCAGGATTCACCCTATATAGGATGCGAACAACACATTGTGATGGAGTCAAAAGCGTTGCTAAAATCAGTACAAAAAGCATTTAAGTCAAATTATTAGTTTCTGGATTTCTGTTGAAATTTTAGCAAAAGAAAGACCTTACTAATTTTATAAACTTTTACTTAGCTACTGATTTGTGTTATTGCCCTCAAATGTTCTAAAAGAAAAGTTAAAATGTTAATATTTATTTATCGCAGTGGTATCAACATAATTTTGGAAGAATGGTAGATTTTATTTAGATTAAACATCGTTTGAAATAGTATCGTTTTAAATGATAAAGCTTATGTGTCAGCCTTGTCAAAAAAAAAAATTAAATTTTTAGGTTTATTTTATAAATTAGTAAAATTTAAAATAAATACAAACTTTAACACGTTTATAAGGTATAAAAACGTTTTGTTAGTTTGGTAAGAATATCACCATTTTCAGATGTTTTTATTTATTTATTATGGCAAAGTTTGTTTTGTTTACATAAAATTTAATAAAACAGAAAAAATAACTCATTTATTTTTCCCTGTAATTTACCAATCAAAGTTGTATGCCTTGATTTCTTAATGTAGTCGATCACTGCTGACAAATCTTGGACACTCTATTTTTATTAAATGTTATTTTAAAAATAAACTCTGAAAATAATCATTGATATGGAACTAACAATATTAAACTAGTTGTGTATTTTGAATTCCAAAACATTTCAAAATAATACATATTTTTTGAATAACTGCAACCTAACTGTATTTCCTGTAAATAAAGATATAGCGGCACTAATTAATCAAATTGTAAATCATCCGCTGACATTAAATTGAAATTATTATATAACGGACAAAGCTAAGATTATTTATTTTTGCACAACGCTTGTTCACGCGATGCACGAAGAGTTACTTCATCAATAAATATTCACATGTCGGGTACCTACTTGCAAAAATGCCGTGCAAAATTGAGAAACAAGTTAATTCAATTCCCGATATCCTTGTAGGTTTCTTACATGTAAGGGTCCAGTTATTTATAAGAATGTAGGTATATGTTTTTGTAAACCACTTATCTTGTTCTTCCATATGCTTTTTTTTATTTTATAGTGTACAATATCCAACGGGTAATAGTATATTATTACCTTTTTACTTTCCTCGAAAAACAAAAATTGGATAAGCTATTTAATTCAATTTTGGTGTGTTTTCACTGTGGGAATATGAGTGTGCATTAACGTTCTACATGCAGTTAAGCAATGATGTCTCCGGTTACGTCTTGGATGTGTGGCCGCTGAACTTAGCCGACTAGCGGTTAACCATCGACGTTGTGGAATCAATGATGATGAATGAATGTATGATGAATGGGAAGAAGTGGGGCATCTAAATGGTGGCACAATAATCTGCGCTAGTGATGGGCATAATCGAATGATCGCCATAATCGAATACTCGGATGATTGAAAATCGAATTTATCGAGTATTCGAATCATATCATTCGAATGATTTATTAATTGCCATCATCAATGGTCTACTGCATTCTGATTGGGTAGTTTAAAATCAATGAGTCAATGATTTAACTAACAATTCAATTCAATTGGGTAGTTTTCTTGACTTGACAAATATCAATCCAATCAGAACTTGGTCCGCTAAAAGTGAAGACGATAAAACGTTGCATGTGTATCCTAGTTAAGAGAAAAAATAATTTTGGTGGCCTACTTTACTCCACATTTCAACAAGTTACCTGGGCACCTATTGTCATATTTTAGCGTGAAATCAGTATTTTGAAAAAACAGTAAGAATTACAATTCTTAGAGACTCTCAGGAGAATTACAATTCTTAGAGACTCTCAGGAGAATTTTAATTCTACCGAATAACCGAGAGAAACAGTCAGTTAGTTTTCACTGGCTTTAAAAATACTTTTTCCACGTTGACGTATGATATTTCTCATAAAAATCTTAAGAGAAATGAGTGCTCCCATAGTTTGAAAATATGTCCCCCACAAATCACTCTCATTACAATTTCAGACATTTCAAATGATTCGAATGATATTGCTATAATCGAATTAATTCGAATAATGATAAAAATCGAATATTTGAATGATTTATCATTCGAATGATCAGTAATCTGCCCCCCAAGAAAAGTAGACTGGATTGAGGGGAGCCAGTGGCTGGATCCAAGCCTGATTGGGGGAGTCTGCCGGATTCCCTCAGGGGGAGTAAAGGGATTCCTGAAAGGGTGAAAAAATGTTTTTCTACAATCAATATCTAAAGTAGGTTTTTGCATATTTAAATCTAACTAGAAAGTTGACCTTTTTTGGGAAATGTAATTTGACATTATTGGCGCACACGTGCGCCAAAGTAACTTTGAAATAAATAAAAGAAAGATAATCGGTAATTTAGACTAATCTAAAATATTCTAATTGACTTCCTAATATTTTAAATCATCCAATAGTATTTTCCGTAAATAATTAAATGATTAAATAATAAATAACTACGGACATCTCTGTATCTGTAATGTGTGGAGGGTGGGTTACCCCCTCATTAGGCCCATTGTGCATCCTCCTGAGAAGATAGGCACCTCCTAGCTCGTGAGCCAGTCTACAGATTTAATGTAGACAACGTCACCAAGAGGTGCTTCTCTTATATCGGCCGGTGTGAGCCGATACTGGCCGAACACAAATCTTCTGAATAATGAGAGCGTCGAGCAATTATAAAGGATATACTCGATGGTTTCATCTTCTTGTTCGCACTCTCTGCAGAGTGCGGATTCTGACATCCCCATGATATGGAGATGCTTCCGTACTTGGCAATGACCAGTCAGAATGCCTGTGACTAAGCGCAGATTCTGTCTAGTCATAGTCAAGTATTTGTTTGCTACAGTGTTGTTAGGATAACTTAAGAGCTCCCTGGCAACTCTGCAGTTTCTTGTTTCATCCCATCTTTTCTTGAATTTCACAAGGGAATGTTCTTTGATTAGGTCTGTCACTACCGATTTTGTCAGGCCAATAGAAGGGCCAGGTCCAAAAAGTATTTGGTTGACTGCTTTCTTGGCGAGTGAATCAGCAAGACGGTTACCTTTCGATGTGGCATGACCTTTAATCCATCTTAAGGTGACCACGTTGTTGATGGATATTTCGGCCAAAGCTTTTTGACATTCTAGTACTAACCCTGAATAAATTCGTGGTCTGTTCAGGGTGAGCAGTGCTTGTCTGCTAACTGTATAAATGAGCATGTTCCTTCAAGTGATATTGTTTCTGGTTATTTTTTTTGCTCACAGCCCATTTTATGTTTAGGTTTAGGAATCTGGAGTATATTCTACATCCTAAGCCTTGATTTGTTTTAGAGCCGTCGGTGTAGATATGAATCGTACCTACCACTTCTGGCTCTTCTATTTGTTCTATTATAACTTTATATGGCTTATGAAAGATATATTTCGGTGAGATGGAGTCCATGTTCGCGTGAAGCAGTGGGAGCGTATCCAGCGCCTCCTGCTAAAAGTGACGTCTCGCCTCACCAGATCCTACATCAGGTTTTATTCCAACCGACAGACATATACGTACTAAAACTATTTTTTTTCTCTTAGAACAGTAGGCTTATGTCAAATAAACTTACAATATTATAACGAAAGAAGGTAACCCATTTCTAATAAAATTTAATTATTTATTTTATTTTGGTGTGATCGTAGAAAAAATCTTGTGAGTAAACAGAAAGTCCTTTTGCAGTTTCAACAGATTGCCCTGTCTGAACTGCTAAAGTGCTACAAACTTAATACACAAATAGCTATTTTAAAACATGAAATTGATAGTATGTCTAGTTATAGAGTTATTGTAGACAGTTTGTTGACAGACGTTTCATTTTTAGAGGTTCTTTTTTTAATATTTTTAATTTTTCTTACTCTTTGACTGTTTGTGATAAATTGGTAGTAGGTACCATCATTAAAAATGGATATATATAAACTAAATGTTTTTAAAACATCTAGTTGTATTTTTTTGCAATAAGTTGTATTTTTTGGATAATTAGATTTTTTGTTACTATCTGCTTTAATTATTTCGACATTTTTCTACTGTCCAAGGTTACCAGTTCTATATTTTAACATCTGGTTCTGAAATATCTTACACAGTTCATTACGTAAAAAAATACGCTCTCTCAGAATATGTAAAAAAATACAGGGTGTCATTTAAATTTTTGGATCGAGGCTGGCTGGAGAAGGCGCATATTACGTTCGGTTGGTATCTCATACTATTAATTTTCCCCCTATGTCCTTAATGACATTACAAAATTTCAAGTCGATAGCTATTTAAACTTTTCGCGCGGACACCTGGTAAATATATATTTTTGCATTTAACAATATCTACCCAATATAAAAATGTTACTAACGTGAAAATTTGCAATTAGATTATCCTTTAAAACGAATGTAATAGAAGAATACCGATATCACACAAATCTAAGATGTTATATACTTTAATTTATAATCTAATTTATTTATTCATACATTGTCCAGGCGATAATGAAATATTATTACTCTAGGTACTCTAGATTTGCTTTTAGGCTAATGGTTAAACGTGTAAGTAAACAATACGCAATTTTAGACTGTGGTGACATAGTATTGAACCTGAAACACACTTTTATTATGTAACTAGAAGTCGATGTTCTTAATTTAATTCAAATTATCTATTACCATATAAATCAACTAATTGCTTTAAATGGAATATAATGTTCGGATTCTGTTACATCTTCTATCTGAAAATGGTCAATATGTTAATATGTTTTAAGTGTCTATAAAGTATTTGAAATTTTTGACACTATGTAGACTTCTAAGACTTGTCATCTTTTCGGATATGTTACGTTTCAATATTATTTGAATAAACTGTATTTACACTGTTATCTCTCATATGGAACAATGGAAAGGTGCTGTCGTGCGAACAATTTTCAAACAGTACGGTCATGCTCTAATCCTTAAAGTCTGTCTTATTTCGGTCACCACTTGTCCGATTAGTAAAAATAATTAAAGAAATAGTTAACCCCCCCCCCCCGAAACCGACTCGGCCAATATTGATTATCAGTCTGGAATATACTAGAACACCGTAGAATCTTCTCTGATACTAAATTGCAACTTATAGTGAAGGTGTCATAGTGTGGAGGAATTTTGTGGAAATATCGAGCGCCTTCATCATTCTGTATTGTTGTGGAAGAAAGCGCCAGTAGAAATTGAGAAATAGCTGTGAGCGGATCGACATAGTAAATGTTTACATAAAATAGTACTAAGTAAAAATTAATTTGTTGAAAAGTACATCGATGTTTGTAGCGTGCTGCGGTCGTCATAAGTAAAGGTACGAGTAAATTAAGAAGATAGAATATTCCCGAAATGTCTCGAAATGTCATTCCTTGTCAAAGAAAAGTCCAGATTGTTCGAGAAGGTTCTAGAAGGTCGAGGCAAGCTATATAAGGCAAGGACCTGACGTCAGAGTTTCAGTTTTATGACAGACGTTAAACGTTAATGTTATCAGTTGGAGTTATTGTATCAGTTGTATAATTGTTGTTAAAGTTTAGTTAAAATAAATTGTGATACCAAAAACCAGCGTAATATTGATGACAGCGGTGGGATACAAAGTAAAAGTTCATGGTAAATACTAGATCCACTGAATACGAAGCAGGCATGAATATTTCAGGCCCACCAGAAGATGGAAGAGGAGAGAGTAAGGCGAGAAGAGGAGGAAAAGGAACGGCGTAGGAAGGAAGAAGAGGAGAAAAAGGAACGGTGT